TTCCATGTGCTCCATGGCTGGGAGGGAACCCAGCCCAAGCCTCAGCTGAGTTGTGCCTGACAGTGAGGGGAGGGGAAAAGTGGGGGTGGTGGTAAAAGTTGCAGAGAGCAAGTGGAGGGTGGCACAGGAAGCTGCTGTGGGTCTGACTCTAGCTCCAACCCAGACTCAGGGCCGGAGTCAGAACGGCTGCAGCCACTTGCTCCCTTCCTCCCCTCCCATCCCCCTATGTTGATGGTGGGGGAAACGTCATCTTAGATTTGAGTAAATAAGGTAGATGACACCCCTGATAACTTCCACTTGAAAAGTTTGTATTTGAGATACTGGCCAGAGAAACAGAAAAGCAAAAATGCAATCAGTAGTAACCTAGCACTCAAATCTGGAGCCGTAAGTCAATCTGGTTTATTGCTGGTGCCAGCTCCATGTTTGTACACATATCACCAACCAGCCAGACACCTAACCCTGTTTATTTCCTAAACTGAAAATGAGAAGCAATAATCTCCATCTCTTGGCAGGAAGAAGCCCAGACTATTTTGAAGTTAGGGGCACCAATATTGTTCAGACTTTCAAGGGATGAGTTCTCTGCTGAATTGGGGTTAGATCTTGGGCTTAATGGGATAAATTGCAAAGTTCTCTATTCATCCTTAAGGGCAGGATAAGACCTTATTCATGTTCGCCCCCACTACAGTAAGTGTGAGTCCAAGGACATAAGCCAATGAATCGTTTATATTGAGGAAAGCATTAACCTACACAACAGCCATCCTTCCTCTTAAGCTGAAGTAAACATTTTCTTGATAATGCAAAAGGACTGAGGCTGTCCTGGATGTATTCATAATGATACACTTCCGTATGTCTATACTATTAAAATTTTTCTGTGTTAACATGTTCTAAGCAATTATTACTCAAGTATTTTTGTATGCTATGGAACTGTTTTTGATCAAAAGGTAACATAAATCACATTTGTTAGTCACAAAAAAACAAAAGCTGCCTGCATATGGCAAAGGCAGTGCATAATTATAAACAGCCCACATTAATACTGCAATAGTAAGATGTGATTATGCCCCAAAACGTCAACATGTTTTCTCTTCCCTATTCTTTGTATAAAAAATGGAATAGCTGAAAATGCTTTTGTTTCATCTGCATACAATCCACCCATATTTGGAGGAGAGGGTCACATGATAGTGACCACACTGGAAAGATCACATATGTTGAGATGTTGCAAAGAATTCAATTGATAGCATTAAAAAGATGCTGATCTGTACATCCAAGGATTGGATGAAGTTTGGGGTTGTCAACCGGGGGAATGCGTACTCCTGGCACCAGTCATCTACATGGGGATATTTGGAAAGCTGCTAGGGCAGGGGTGAGCAAAATGTGGCGCATGGGCCAGATACAGCCCTCCAGGCCATTCTAGCTGGCCCACGGGGCCCCTAAAAAATGTAGAAAATTAATATTTATCTGCTCCTGGCTGCCTATCATGAGGTCCTCGATGGCTTGCCAAAACTCAGCAAGCGGCCCTCCACTCGAAATAGTTGCCCACCCCTGTGCTAGGGGATACATGCGGGTGGGTGGGGACAGAGTGCTGCCACCCTGCCTTCCAGGAGCAGCCGGGGGGCGGGGGGAGGTGAGGGCAGTGGCTTCCCTCTGCAGGTCACACAGGCACTGCCCAGCCGGTCAGATGCAAAGGGTGGGGGTGAGCTCACACACAGTGGCTGCCACCAGCCACCGCCCTGTGCTGCCGCACAGCACACATGGCTCTGCGGGCTGCCGATGGGCAGTGCGCAACTGGCCAGGTGCAAGGCCGGTCAGCAGCCTGTGCAGCTGCATGTGCAACCGGCTGTGCGATGTGCAATTGCTGCCATCCCCTCCCCCAGCTACACGTTTGGCCACTGCCACAGAAGAGGTACACTCCTTAGAAAAGGTTGAAAACCCCTGGATTAAGTGACTGAAGAATCATGAAGTACATGAAGTCCTGGACACAGTGCTTATTTCCATCTAACGTAGGCCTTTTCTTTTGCTGACTCTGGCATGGTGACTCATACCTTTCTGAACTGCAGTGTGGTTTATTCTGGGCATTTTATTGAAAAATGCCCAGAAGCTTTAGAAAATACAGAATGTGGTCTGTGTGAGGACAAGGGTACCACCAGTATTTAGCATTAAGGACCAAATCCTGCGCTGCTTCACACTGACTGTAACAACACTGAAATCCAAATATCCAGGGGCAGAATTTGGGTGCTTTGAAACTTTTTTTTTTCTTTTGCACTAGACATGTATTTGCACTGCAGTGTAATTCATTATGTTGGTTAGTATCCGGAAACTCTAAAACATCTGGCACCAGTCATCTACATGGGCCATTTCTCTTGACTGGATCTAGGAAGTGTAATCAGTTTATTCAGAATACTTACGTTGGTTTGCTTTCATTTAATATGGAGCCTGGAACCTGTATAATACAACCTCCTTCTGAGAGTCCCACTACAACTTTTTACCTAGAGAGGTGGTGGAATCTCCATCACTGGAGATACTTAAATTCAGGTTAGGCAAATTCTGGGTTGGGGTAGTTCGGATAGAGGTGATCCTGCCTTAGGCATGGTTGAACTATAATTCAGGGGTGCAATAAAAGCAAGGATGGAATTCAAGGATCTTTCAAGGAGCCACTTATGTTTCTGTAACCAAGTAAAACAATATCTGCATTAAAGAAAGATCTGAGATCACACAGCTTTTTCCATCCCCCACTACTGCTGTCTTTTGCCCTATACCAGATTAACCCCCTGCTGAGGGGGCACATCACTACTCTGTTTGGTATACTACTTCCCCTTTACTTCCCATAGGTTAATTTTTTGGATCTTACTGCTATAAGGGGGCAACTGGGGTAGCAACCTTGAGCATGGAGGATAGGAAAGCTGCCAGGCAGCCACCACTGCTACCCTATGCACTACCCCATGCACTGCCACTGCCCAGGGTGCAGAACTGCCCTATTGCACCTCTGCCCTATATTTCTTCTTCTATCCTATTGTCACTCCTTGATCCTTATCTTATTACTTATTGGACCAAGTAATAAAATTACTTGTCTCTTGATCCTCCCTGGTGCTCTGGCCCCAAATCTCTCTCACAAACCAGTATGTTTGTGCTTTTTGCCCACCGTCTGTCTGCTTCCCCAACTTGGACTCATTTATGACCAATGATAAAAACAATTTCTATGCACAAGGTCTGCTTACTCTGATGTCTCTCACATTAATCCCTAAAAGGAAGACTTAATTAGTGTATGGACCTCATACTGGACCTCTTGCATATAGGTGAATTTCACCTCCAGGGCTTTACTTGAGTCAGTATTGTAGGACTTGGAATACCTATGATTTGGAGAGACCTGAAAGTGTATTTTCCTAATTGGTATATCCTATTATAATTCATTATAACAACTGGATATCCTATTATAATTCATTATAACAACTGGATATCTTCCTTAGCGATAGACTAAACCATACGTGAAGTCACATATCAAATTAAACTAACAATCAACAAAAAACAGATGGATGTTTTTTCTGTTGTTATTATTCATGAAATTGTCTTTAGATTTAATAAGAGCCAGAAACAGCTCAGATTTTGGAAAAAATCTGTTGAAAAGTGTAATGTTATCATTATTTTACCAGTGCACTGTTGATATTAATCAGCTATAGCTTATAGAACTGTAGTTAATAACTGTATTTAAAATGCTTGTTCTATTAGTTCAGAGAAAGAGTTACATATTATTCCATTTCATCTCCTTAATCAGATAAAGTCTTTGAATTTGCATATTGTCTTTTGTATACTGAGAAAAACTGTTGAAGTCTTTTAGTGAGAATGATATTGACTGGTTTAAATAAATCTTTGAAGACTTAAGAGAAATATTTTAGAACAAGCTATAAAATATGAGTACAAAATTATTTTATGCATTTATGACACATGCTTAACAGATTCTGAAAATCAGGATTAATAAAAGGTTACCTATCCTCAGAAGATCCAAAAAACATTAAATCAACAACTTTTTGTGGCAAAGTTCCAATATATAAATTTCAGTACAAAGAATTCCAGTACATTTGTTATAAAATGAATCTAGCCTTTGGTTTGTAATACTTGCAGGAATGCAACAAGTAAACCATTAATTCAATTTTAGTAAATTAGTCACTTTAAAATTTCATTTGATTTTGTTTTATAATATCCACTATATTTCTGAAAGTGAATATAAATGTAAATCCTTTAGTAGGGTTTGACACAGGTGCAGAATAAGGAATTAAACTGCAAGTTGAGTTGTTTATGGGTTTTTATTCCATTTTGCTTCTTTTTTATTTCATGTGAACATGTGATTTCCCCCCCACTTTTTAAAAGGACTGCACTGTATTGCATTAAGCTGTGTTTTGGTAGATGGCCATATTCTTGTATACACAGAAAAGGACTAAAACAAGCAACCCTCAACTCCATTTTCCGTCAAAAGGCAGCAGCAAGAATAATTAAAACCCAATTCTGCCATCTGTATTTACTGGGATTACTAGTTGGGTGCATCTACACGTGCGCTTTTACTATGAAGCTACCTAGCTCCACAGTAAAGCATTACTTTCTACATGTGTGCCCATATTATGGGGCAGTAAATTAATTAACTCCGCTGTAGGAAAGTATCGTTTAAGATGAGTACTATCCTGCAGTGTAGTAGTTACATGTGCCAAAAAACACACATGTAGACAGTGACCAGGATTGGCTGGGGCAATTAAAGTGCTACAGTGTGGTGACTGCCTGCTGGCTACCCTTGCACTGTAGCACCCTTGGGCATTTATACACATACATTTTTGTGCTGGGACGTGCCGGAGATCCAGCATGTTGGAGCACACTTGATTAATCGACTCTGCTCCGCATGCAAGTTGATGCACATTGCACTGCATCACGTGTTTATAAGTAGCAAAATGCACGTCAGCATGCAGAAAGTGGCAGCAGTGCACACTGCCACCATTTTCTCAGCGCTGACACACATGTTGCTGCTTTTAAAAGCGCCTGGCGCTGCAGCGCAAGTATGCGTACAAATGCCCCTTGTGTCCTGGTCAGCCTCTCTGCAGCATGTTGAGCTATGGTGGAGCAACCCCGAGCTGGCAGACTGACCCCCCAGGTTCTCTGCCATCCAGGGGCTCCTGTGTCCCAGCTCAGTGTGCCAGCTGCACATGTAAAATGCTGTGCCCAGGAGCAATAAACTGGGGCACAAACTATGCTAGAGTTTATTGCTGTGTGCTAATTGCACATGTAGATGCACCCACTGAGTAAAATACTACTTAGTACAAGAAAAAATGACAGACTTGGGCTCCAAGTTAACAGTCAGTCAGAAAACTGAAAAGTAATTAGTGGCCCAATAAGTAATAAGATGCAAGGCAGACACTGCTTACTTGTGGTATGATGTAGGACCAGCTAAGATTTTTTTTTTTTAAAGATGCATAAAGTTAAGCTCCAAATCTAATATCCATGGTTTATCAGTCAGGTTTTCAGGAGTACTGAGCAGATCCCTGTACGTCTTGGTGGGATCTTGTACTTGTACTGCTTACCATAGCAAAGACAAGGAAGGGGTTCACAATCTGTCCTATATGACATAGACAAATATTCTTGTAGTGTACTTTTTTCACAGCTTGCAGGGTTGTTGCATTAATTCCTCTACGGAATCCTGTCCTTGAGACCAGATGCAGTATGGAAATGGCATTGATGAAGCAGCTCCAGCTTCTCCCTGGAACAAAAAACAAAAGGGCCAACAAATATAGAATTTCAGGAGTTACAAATTCATCACTAACAAATTAAGAACTACGTACATTTCTCAGGCTATTATGATAAAAATAATTAGAATGCTGTTCAAGATAGCATACTGAAATTATTTGTTCTTTTAGCTTTTAAAATCTATCTAAAGATCTGGTAATGCACAGTTAATGAACTATTTATGTTCATTAACTAATAAGATTCTTTTTATATCATATAAAAAGGTCATATTTTGGAAATGAGAGCACTTTAAAATATAATTCAACACAATATTTCACAATGTAAAATCTGTTCCAAGGACTGTGTTTTATGCCAGATAAAAACTTTAAATACTAGATTTCAATACATTCACACCAACTGATGTCTATAACAAGTAAATTTCCATGTGGGGAAGGGGCAAAAAGCCACTAAAGTTTAATACTGGTTACATGAGACATTCCTTGTAGAAAATAAATCTACACACACACACACACCCCGCCCTCATGGCAAGGCTCATTTTGCCATTTGATGTCCATCGGCAAGGCTCATTTTGCCATTTGATGTCCATCACAAGCTTTTATCAAGATGGAATATACCACTATTATTTAGACAGCATGCCCCTTGGGACTGAGTGCATCTTTCTAATCTCTAAGTTGAACTGCATTGTGTGTGCGCAAATAAATGTCTCTTTTAAAAAGGGTATTTTAAAGAAGCACTCTATATTCTTTTGCCTAATTCCCTACATCTTGAAAACTATTATGATCTTATGAATACTTGTGGGTACCAGGAAAACTAGGGCAGACCTATAATGTAAAAGCTGCAAGTGATGCCTCTTCACTCTCTCTTCTTCTTCTTGGTCACTGATAGTCATATGGCAGTGATTAGTGTGTCTGATCAAAAAAGCTATGCAAGAGTGAACTGCAATTATACTACGCTTATTTTAGCCCTAGCTTGTAGCCTTTGAAATGCCAGTTTTGGCCCAGTGGTTGCCTGCGAACCCAAAGAACTGGACTCAGTGGCCTGGAAGGCCCCATCTAGTTCTGTGTTCCTAACAGAACTGTTAAATCAGGGCAGAATTGACCCACTTATTTCTGCTATATTGCCCATATTCCAGAGGACTTGGAGAGAGCAGTAAATGAAGGCACAATGGTGCAATAGCTTTGTAAAGGGAAGTGTTCCAGGATATGTGATAATACAATTAGCTGTACCTTCATATTCACTGCAATTATGCCAAGTTCAAACATATTTTCCTTTCCTACTCTCTGGAGTATATCCTCAAGCACAGTCTGACATGCATCCATTGGAGACAAACCCTGAAAGAAAAACAGTAGATGCAACCAGTTTGAGAAGTAAGACATTTATATTTTTGTTATACACTTTAATCAAAGTAACTTTAACTACTAACCCCAGACCCACATGATGTTAGACTGCTAATTATTTAAACTGATCAGAGAGAGAAGCCAGAGGATATGAACTGTTGCACTCTGCCCCTTACTGTATTTAAGTGCATAGGAATAATCACCAGGTACTTTAGACTCCTTCCTTTAACTAGACACAACGCTGAATATTTGAGATAGCACGTAACCTTTGTGTCTGATTCTAGCAGTTCCCTGTGCCCATTCCAGTCCTTGCTGGTTTCAGTGGGGCTCCACCCAAAGAGAGCTCATGGCAGTCAGGTTCTTAATTCTGAATGTCTTTTTAACAACTTGATTAGATGCTATTATTTAAATAGCTTTGGTTTTGCTGGGGGGGGAGCGTGGGGAAGGAAGGGGTATTAGCAAGAGTATTAATAAAATAAAAATCTTCCACTGGAATTAGAATAGCCAGTGCACTAATATCAAGAGAAAAGTAATTAATATACAATGAAAATATGAGAGGCACTTTGACTGACATGATCACAGCTTGCTAAAATGAAAGTGTTCCTTCAAATAACAGCACTTGTAATGACAAGGTAACAGCTTACAGGAATGGGGGTAATACGAGGAATCTCCAGGGTAGCACAAAACAGAAACTGTCCAAGCTAGATATCAGAGTTATTCTGTTTCACTTTTATTGCAGATACTACAGCTAGGACAGCCAAGATCATCCTATACTGAAATCCCAGGGGAGCAGAGGAGTTTTCAGGATAGGACATTTATACACATACATTTTTGTGCTAGTAAACGTTGGAGATCCTGAAATCGAGTCTGAAATCGAGATCCTGAAATTTTACACGTGCTGTGCTGTCACATGCAGTTGTATTAAGTGGCAAAATGCACGTCACTGTGCAGAAAACGGCGGCAGTGTGCTTTTGAACTAAAACACCTTTGATGTGTTTTAGTTCAAAAGCGCACCACTGCCATTTTTTCAGCGCTGATGTGCATTTTACCACTTATACAACTGCATGCCACACAGCAACGAGTGCTTTTAAAAGCACCCGGCACTGCGGTGCAGGCATGTGCACAAATGTCCTAAAGTGTCTAATGAAGAGAACATATTCTGAATGGCATGGGATGGATCAAAAATGGCATTGTTGCAGGAATGGGAACAAAAAGAAAGGATGTTTTACCACTCTACAGTACATGTAATTGTACTTTTTAATTCGAACTGGATAAACATTGAGGCTAGGGGCAGAAATTACACATAAACTAGTATAAGTGATTGGAAACCAGTTCAAATCTGTAACACAACAGAAGTTCAGTACACAAACTGCTTTCAAACTGGCCAAAACCAGTTTAAGATAAACCTGGACGGACGTAGCATTAGGGCGCAGACAGAAGTGAAACTCCTTGCTGTAACTGAGAATGCTTTGCAGTATGCGTTCTGAGTTACAGCAATTTCCCCGACCAAACAGAAGTTCACTGTAGGTACCAGGGGGAAGGGGAACGTAGCTGTTAGCTGCCAGACTGCAGCCGGTTTCCCCTACCAATGGCCCTTCCTCCCTGCCAGTCAATACTGTTTTCAAAATGGGAGGGGGAAAGGGAGCAGAAGGAGCTCATTCTAGGGGTTCTCCAGACGGTGCTGGAGGGTGGGGCAGGTGTATTGGAGCACCTCCCCCTCACTTTGCTGGGGAGGAAGGGGGGCGGCTCCAATACACTCGTCCCACCCTCCTGCAGGGGATGAAAAGGCTCCAGACTGAACTTCTTCCAAACCCTTTCCCCACTTCTGTTCAGTTTGGAGGCTAGTAGGCAGGCAAACACAAGTTACAGAATATTTTGAAATGTCTTCATCTGAACCCACATGCAATGAGGGTTCAGATTTTCACCCAACTGGCCATTTTTGAAGTGGTCTGCAGCTGTGAACTTATGTTTGGTCACAGCAATAGACTGCTTTCTGTGGCCAGATTGGGCAAAAATTGTCACTTCTGCCTGCGCCCTCAAACATAACTGATTTAAGGTAAATTGGTTTATTGAACTTCTGTCCCAGATCTCTTCTAGATTTAGATCAACTCACAGTCCCCCAGCCCAGGATGCTTTGCATCTCCCCTGCACCTCCTCCTGCAGGGTGGGTGGGCTAGCTTTGGCCCAAGCCATCTGCTCCAGCAGAGCAGGGAGGCGTGCTCTGGTGCCCCCCACCCCAATTCTGGCCTGGGCCACTGCAGGCATGTGGCTACATTTCCAGAATCAAAAGAGAATGTCTGTTCACTTGTTTATCAGTTCAATCAATGCAGCTTAGACTAACCTGCAAAGATTGAACTGATTCAGCCTTCAGTGTTTTGACTGTCTGTACTTAGCCTGAGGGGTCTAACTAATTTACAGTGAAGTGGAGGTAGGGCGATGAAGTGGTTCAGATATTTCACTGTGGCTCCAGAAGTATGAGTTGAAGCCCCACACTGAACTCAAACAAATGCTATTCCTCATTGACCTAACTAAATGGGCAGCTGGATTTTTGGGCTGAGAGCTCACAGGCAGCCAGATGTGATGCCGGCCACCTCACTCTTGTGTGCTGTTGGCTACAGAAACTGATGTGCCTTAACCATGTCAGTTCAGTGGGCTATTAGGTTCTGGTATCTGTTTGACCTGACTTGTTTCATTTTTAAACAGGGATTCTTTCTAGACAAATGGTACAGATTTCTGATTTCAAAACAAACTCTGTCATTTTTTCATTTTGTAGGTCAAAAATCACCAAATAGAAAGGTAAGAGCTCAAGCAAATGCAAAGGGAATGTGTGAGGTGGTGGTGGGGTCAGGCATTTGTGCCCACAGGCTGAGCTGGTCCCGCATTGTCTTAGGGAGTCATGGTCTCATGCTGCATGAGACTTAAGTGCCTGACAAGTCCTGGAGTGAAAAGGCCACATCCTCTCTCTGCTTCAACAGGCAAAGAACACACTACCATTTTTACAAATTGTAATGAAGTTTAACCCCCTGAATATACACAACAAAGCTCTTAGCGAGCCTCCAGGGATATTAGTTGCATGGTACCCCTCCAACAATACAGGACAAGATCTTGTTCTAAATAAAGAAATGAAGTACTTAAAGGCCTGAGATAAGCAACTGATAAGAGACAGTAACTGTACACATCAGTCTGCACTGGGAGGAAAGGGACTTTTGAAAACCTGTAGTTTTGTTCAAGTCAGTAAGAACCAAAAAAAGTACTCCTATTTTCAAGGAATCTGAGATGGTAGTTATTGTAAGTGAAAAGATTTTGTATTCCATCAGTAAGATCTGGTAATTTTATGCCATATCTGCACTAATATAAACATACATATCTGTTACGTATTTTTATGCAGCATATTGCCAAGTTACAAATGTACTGAGATGATTTATATCAGCTGAGGATCCGGCTACAGCATTCCGAGTTTTTGTCTTACATAATCTCTTTTGGTTTTAGTTTCCTGTATCAAGAAACAATAGTAAAATTAACAAGGGCTGATTACTGTTTGTTCACTAGACTTTTTAAGTACCACAGTGACAAATATGTATTGTAGATTTGGCCATGTAGTCAGGACATAAAGACATCTGCCTTGATTTTAAAATTACCTGTTTCATTAGCAGAACTACATGAAAGCATGGACAGAAGCACATGATCTGGTCTCCATCTCCTGTAGCTGGCAGGAAAAGAAAAAGACACACAATTGTGAATGACATACTTTGTATGCAAGTGGATGATGCTTACTTGCACTGTTTCACTGAGGGTAACATCCTCAGACTGCACGTAGAACCAGCTAAAGGAAGTTTTTGCAGCTGTGCTATAGTGTGGCCATTGGGAACAAAATACATCCTACACAACTGCTTCTTCTACAACCCTCTCCCTCTTATTCCGGCCTACAGGCTGGAGATGAGGCAACTACCTATCTATACTGCAGTAGAGATCGAGGGGAGTGGGGAAGAAGCAGTAAAATGGAAACCTTATTTTACATGATTGTCTTCCTTCACTAAAAGTGTATAAAAGAGGGCAGGCACTTAAGAAACCATAGGAGGAATCTAGTTTTACTGTATGTCTGTGTTATTTACACTTCAGTCTGTATAACTAGAACAGTTCAAAGCAAAAATGGCAAAATAAACATCCTTTTTTATTAGAGAGGATTTTTTGAGTAAGTGAAGAGTACTCTAACAATGCACAAATGGCTACCACTGAGAGCCAAACAACTCTTCTGCTTTCTCAGCACAAAACCAAAGGAGGAAGCCAAACACTACTGCTTACATGTAAAGGGCTGCCAAGTTCCCATTGCTATCAAAATCCAGTGGCATTTGGAAAGGAAATGACTGACTGCTGAACGGCATAACTAGCAGGTGCAGATGGCATTAGAACAAGTTTTTCAATGACTAATCTGCTACAGTCACAACAAAGAAAGTACAAATAGTTTTGAGGACAATCATTCAGGTCCTGCCAGCTTTACTGCAGGTCGTGGAAGGACTTAGTTCCAGTCTGGCATGCAGTGTCTCTTACCTTAAATGAGGTGTCAAATGAATTCAGTGACATACCCACGCAGTACAGAAGGACTGTACAATATACATGTCCCATATACAAATATATGCTAAAGCATCAAGGGAATTCAAATGAGAAAGGTGATAATATATTGCCTGTAAATCTAAAAATTCTTTAACGCAGCCAGAGCTTTCATAGAAAAGCATCTGTTTGCCCTAAAGCATGACACAATCTGTACAAAGTTTCACAATAGTAGGCTACCGCAAAAGTGGTAAGGAAGTTGGAAAAGGAAGTGCTAAGTGTTCAGGAGATTCTATCCTGCGCAATATTAAGCTAGTCATTTGCCCTATGGTTTGCTGTTGTGGTGTCAAAAGAATCTTCAACCGATTTACACAGAAACCCAGAGCACTAAAAGTGTTTTGGAGAGTGCAGTCTGGGATGCCAGCACCTTGAACATGCCAAATGAAGACCATGTTGGCTATGGATATTGTCCATGCTCTAAACTCTGTATGGATTTGGTGCCTGCCTGAAGCCTGCTTGCCAAACTTAAACATCACTTTTCATTTATTTAGCCTCTCAAATCACACCCCTCTGTATCTAAAATACTGAGGAAAATGAAACCCTCTGCTGTACTGTATTATAGGACTATATGCCACTAAAACACAGCAGCATACATGTAGAATAAGAACAAATAGTACCTCGATATCTGAAATACACTGCTGCCCAGCCTGATGAATTAAGGTGGAACATCAGGAAGAAGATTTCCAGTAGCAAAATAGTTCAACCAGGCCTTCTCTCCTTCAGGGTCCATTAAGAAAAGTTAAAAATCAAATTAAATATATCTGCCCTGTTCCTCCCTTCAATAATCTCACCTCCATAGACTGAAGTATGGCAGAATTATTTCCACTTTTGCACAGCTTTTCATTTTCAAATATCCTAGTAAGACATTAAGTTGACATACTAGTCAGTCATTTTTGAGATCTGGAAAATCTAAGCTTGGTAAAACAGCATTGTGGGATTCATGTTTATTGCCTCAATAATTTTGCTATACAGTGCATTTATTTTTCAAGACAAAAAATGGTCCTCCTGGTTTCCTGCCCTGGCTTTTCATCCCTGGCTCTGAAAGTCAGGCTAAGTATTTCTATTGGATTCTGATAACACCCTACAAGAGTGGCTGCAGAAATCCAGACGCACTAGCCCTCTAGAAGAATGAGGTTACCATTTTGTGGAATAAGAGCAGGAAATAAAACTAATTGTACAGAAAGCATTGTCATAGGCAAAGGGTTAACAGACTAAGACAGACGGCAAAAAAAAAGACTTCCTAATCTCTCAGTTTTGTTTATCCAGGATATTTACTTGTAGAAACAACAAGCAACATCTTCCAGAGAAAAATGTGGGTTTTTTAAGCTGATATCATCCTTTAATATTTTCAGAACAATACATTGAATTTTCTGTACACGTTATGCCTCTGGTGATGTGATTATATTTTCAGTATGGAGCTATGATTAAACTCTCTGCTGTATTATCTTTTCCCTTCCTGCACAGTAATATGGTACCCAAGAAAGATCTTTATCAGACTGACCCAAAGCAACTGTTAAAACCACATTCCACAAATGCTTTTCTCCTTTCCACCCACTATGCATGTACCCACACCTGCTACAAGGGTCACAAAGAAGTGACCTTTCTCTACTGTCCTTCTCTCGGCATTATGGTTAAGGTGATTCCTCTAATTTACTGCAACTAAGAAAAAAGGGCATGTGGAACCACACACCCTTCAGGATTCACAGGACACGGTCTGTGTGAGCAAGACAATTAACCAGGCTCTGGAAATGGAAATATGAGCTTCTGTTTTTTTCTTATATATAAAGACCAGAAACATATTCACGTTTTTCTTGACTGTTTTGTTTAACACTGAAAATTTAGGTACTTTTTGGCATTTCAAGCAATCTTATAGCCTAGAAGAATGTGATGAAAGAAAGGTAGTGACCTTACATGCAGCCAAAGAGGTGACCTTTTGAGGGGAGAAGGCAGGGTAATAAAAATGTCTGCAAATCCTTTGCTTTCATTAATATATTTAATATTAAGCTTTTACATTTTAGCTAGTTTTTAAAAAATATATATACTTATTTTAATACTTTGCTTCGCCACCTAATGTTTTGTGAAAAAACTCAGTTAGGCATTCTCTTTATATATATATCCTTAGCTGCCACACCTTAACTGATCTGAGATACCAGGTTTTAATGGGGGACAACTTCAAAGATGATATTCCTGATATTTCCAAGGTAAAAAATAAGTGGGAGCCTACCCCTCTTCTGCCAAGTTTCTCCAAAAAAAACTCTTATAGCTTTCTTCCCATATCATTAAGTAACAAAAAGGTAAAGACTACAACTTTTAAATAATTTTCAGGTTAAGATTAAAATCAGTTTTTAATATTTTGCAAGCACAGAATTTCCTTAGATATATTCCTTGTACTTCAGATTTTAAAAATAGTCAGTTTTCCTGAAGAACAACAAAGTTTTCATAAAAACCAGCAAGAAGGACCTTTACACGACACTCATATTAGGAGACTGTTCTACTTTCCACATACCAGCAGTTAGGCTGGAATAACTTTTTATTTTCTGACGCATGCAAAGGTGGTCTAGTTAAAGCCTAGGGAAGGCCGACACTTTACCTCAGCATGTTCTACACTAAACTTTCAGACAGAATTAATCATCTCGTATAAATTACCACATTCTAACATGTTTATATCCCAATTTAGAAAAGGGCACTAAGAATACTAAGGCAATCAAAGCCTTGACAACTGCTGAGGCAGAATAATAGAGTTCTGATGTAATCAGAAGCAAATTTGGCAAATATGTAGATAAGAGGTATAGAAATAATTCTGGTTCAGATTATATGCG